GAATTATTGATTTTGACTTATATTTTAATTCATATTTTTAGCAGAAGGGGGCTTAATTTTTTATTTCTACGTTATTTCTAAGGATATTTAGGTCTTGTTATAGCTTTCGCTTAATTGTATCTCGATTGCATATGATTCTATTGTTTAATAATTATTAACAAAATGTTGGTGGGATAGCTTATGCATTCTCTTTAAGATAATTATGTTCCGAACTTTTACAATTTGAGGAGTTATATATGATACAAATAAATAAAGATTAGTGTTATACTCATTCTATGTGATTATGTGCTGCTGTCACGTTATCTAATAAATTAAAATGCATTTCAATTTTATTGAAAATATGACACTGATCTTATCACACATAAACAAGAGATTATATCTGTAACCTCTGTGAGGGTCCCATCGCACATTGTAAAAGAGGGTTCACATGGAGGAGAATCGTTTCCCAAAGCATGGACACCTGAATCATAAAAAAAATCGCAGTACTCTGGATAAACACTTCCATACGTGTTTTCTTGTATTCATTCTAGTTGGAGCTCAAACCAAGATTTATTTGTTTCTCTAGGATTTGTTTATATATATGATTCTTCGATATTCGAATCCATAGTAATCTATAATATATTAAATATCACATCAAGTGAGAATCATTTTCTGGACGATTTTAGACATACTACTATTTTATTATTTCAATAGTACTTTACTTTTCGTTTTTCAAAATACATTTAATTGAATATTAATTATTAACACATGCACGCAAATAAATAATTAAATTGTACGAGAACAATCAAATTGATTTATGAACATGAAATTTAATTAATTTGAATCAATGAATATAGAAAAGGAAATATGTATATACATTTATTATTAAATATCGCATCAAGTGAGAATCATTTTCTGGACGATTTTAATCCTACTACAATTTAATTATTTCAATAGTACCTTACTTTTCGTTTTTCAATATATATTTAATTGAATATTAATTATTAAATATGCAAGCAAATAAATAATTTAATTATAATAGAACAATCAAATTGATTCATGAGCATGGAATTCAATTAATTTGAATAAATGAATATAGAAAAATAATAATTTATATACATTTAAATAAATGGGGTGTAAGTGAACAAACATGAAATTTAATTAATTTGAATTAATGGATATAGAAAAATAATAATTTATATATTTAAACAAAAAGAGTGTACATGAACCAACATGGAATTTAATTAATTTGAATCGATGAATATGGAAAAAGAATAATTTATATACATTTAGATATTGAGAAATTAAAAGGTAGATTCAATATGAAAACATATTGAAGGAACTTGAGAAGAAGAACACATTATTAATCATCAAGCTCAAGTAATATTGTGAATATATTGCTCTATCTATAGAGTAAATTTCTAACAAACTAATTACATAACAAACAAGAGAAGAATCTAGAAGAAGCATGTGTTAGTGATGGAAGAAGGATCTGAAATTGGAATATTCTGACACTCCTCCCTCAAGATGAACATTTTGAATTGTAGAGAGAAGAGCAGAGATGCAAGAGAAGCTGTTGTCAACAATATCATCTAGCGGATAAGCAATTCAGAGAAAAATAGCAACATAATTCAACCAAAATAAGTGAGGATCCATGGCTCTAAAACCAGGCATTTGCTGAAGACAAACATAATGAACATTGATGAGTAAAAGGAAAACTAAAAATACTAAACAAACTCCAGCAAGGAAATGTATCCATCTATGCTCTCTGATTTTTGTTTTTTTCTGTTTCATTCTAGAGTTGATATTTTTTCAAGCAACATTACAATACAGATGACCAAAATTTAATTCCACTCTCCAATTTCTTTCCTCTTTAAACAGTATAAAGCATTCCTATGCAATCTCTCCTTCTTCTAGCTCTTCCTCCATAAGGAAGTCATCTGGATTAGTTCCCCCAATAAGATCTGAATATATGTCGACCAAACCTTGCTTGAAATCAAAGTTCATATCCTCCTCAGGAATACCCAACTCCTTGCCTATATAGTATACTTCTTCTTTCCACACACTTTCACCACTGCTTAATACTGATTCGTCTTGCTCAACACCTCTTACCACCAATGGGCTATATACAATCTCTTTGTATGCAGTCTCAGATACCATATTTTGATATGAATGGTTCATAAGATCTAAAATAAGAGGATTTGCGGGCCACAGTCTATGATTTCTTCTTCCCTGAAAGCCACACCTTCATCACTTAGATAATCATTGTCAACAGGCTTGTTAAGCTCAACTTTATTAGGAATCATGTCGTTGATGACTTCAAAATCACATGTGTGTGATGGTAAAAAAACATGTATAACAGGGTACTCCAAGAACACTAAATTTTCTAATTGCTCGCGTATTGATGCCTCAATGTTTAACTTGCGATAAGGTGATCTGGGCCCCTTTGGATATTTGTGGATGAAAAATTTAAGAGAATCAATAGGCTCATCACAAAATTGCCTCAACCGGTGATTCCACGGACCATCTTCTAGATGTTTTCCAATCAGAGAGCACTGATTTGTATTTTCATGTATTCCGTGGTCAATTAACACAACATCAGTTGAACGAAACCGCCACTCAATGGTCTAAGATATGAATTTCTTCATATTATAGTAATAAGTTCGATTCATTAATCTCTTTGACATCCCATTTGAAAGAAAGAGGAGTTTCGTCCTACGGCTTGCAGCAACATTCCGAAGACTTTGAAGGGGAAACAGAAGCCTAAAATGATATTCGCCACATAACTTAAGTCTCGTCATGTGGGCAAATTCAGCAACTCTCTTCACATCCTCAAGCATATTATAATCTAATAGAAGAACATTATCGACGAATTGAGAGAGGGGTACAAAATTCGTGAGCAGCCTTTTACCAGTACAGCCAGTGCGTTGCTTGTGTGCTTTGACACAATGGAGACTGCAAGAGCAGAGAGAGCATCTTGGGCACTTGTACTTTGAGGGGTTCGTTTTACACTATTCACATGTGACTTCCTCTTTCTAATTTTTTGAATTAGGGTTTGCAGTTCTGCATCGAGAGAGAGAGAGAAGGAGGAAGAAAGTGACAGAGTTGTAGACGGAAGGATCACTTTTGCTCTGATATCATATTGAGAAATTAAAAGGTAGATTCAATATGAAAACATATTGAAGGAACTTGAGAAGAAAAAACACTTTATTAATCATCAAACTCAAGTAATATTGTGAAAATATTGCTCTATTTATAGAGTAAATTTCTAACAAACTAATTATATAACAAACAAGAGAATAATCTAGAAGAAGTACGTGCTGGTGATGGAAGAAGGATCTGAAATTGGAATATTCCAACACAAATGGCATTATATCATGGATTAAATAAATAATATTGAAATTAAATAAGTGTACATGAACATGAATAAATTATCTACTCCTATAATAATTAAATAGCTCCCAAATTACATGATCTTTAATGATTTATATACTCCTAGAATTATTTATGATAAAATAAATAATCTTGAAAGTAAATACGTGTTCATGAATTTGAATAATTTATTTACTCATAAAATAATTGAATAACTCACAAAACATGTGCACTTGAACTTGATGACTTAATGTTATATTTAATAATTCATAAATAAATGTTAATTAGTATACATACACATATATAAATAATTGAATTGTAATATTTTTAGAGTAATTGAACAGCCCCCAAAATATATAAAGTGTACATGCATGAATTTGAAGAATTAATTGATTGAACTGTAGTATGATATATGTAAATTAATATTAATTATTATCATACACGTAAATAAATAATTCAATTGTATAAAAAGTTCATTTCACATAAACAGTTTAACTATTTTTTAAATTAATTGATTTTCAAATATTATTTTTACAACATTTATAAAGCATTCAAAATAACGTGTAACGCACGTTTCGCTGTGACTAATTCTCTTAAAAAATTTCAAAAGATGTAACTTTTTAGCCTATGCACGAGGAAAAAAAATAAAGAAATGTATATATTAGCGTGCTGCAATAAAGTAGACTTTTATTAGAGAACCAATGAACTAGACTTCGTAGTTGATGTGGCACCATTTCTTATCAATGTCACGATTCACAACGAGTTACGGTTGCTTAAAGAAATTCATACATACATACATACATAGATTAACTGCTTAAAGAAATCTATATATATAAAATATATACAAATAAATCAAATGGACATGTAAATGTTCGGGAAAAATTCAATCGGTGTAATAACAAGATAATATTATTATCCAAAGCGTTCAAACGATAATGTATTTGTCAAGAAAGAAAATGTAATAACTCAAATTGTGAATCTTCTAGTGACTAAAATTCATGCTTCTTCTCTAACAATATAAATGTTTAATAAATATTTTAACAAAACATTTGTGAGTTATGACGCATCTATAAAAATTGAGCACATTTAAGGCATTTAGCGAAAAAAAAAAGTTCATTTAGTCTAATATTTTGTATGAGAGGGATTAAAATCGGATTAAAATTGAAAATATAGCCGTTATTGTTGACTTTTATTAGACGAGTGAGACCCAATAACGGCCATATTTTCAATTGTAATTGACTTTTAATCCCTCCCGAACGGGGCCTAAGTATAAATGAGCTTATTGAATGATGTCATTTTTTATTTAATTATTTAACTTTTAATATTAAATAATTAAAACTTTTTGGACGTATATGTATAATTTTTTGGGAGTAATATACGCTGAACTGCCTTGAATATCACAAACAACTTAATTACTGTATTTATTATTTTTGACATTAAAATATTAGATTCCATTTCACGAAGTCTATTATGGGATTGCCACCAGAAAATTAAGGTGTGTCTAATTATTATTTTTGATTCATAGAGAATGTTTCTTTTAAAAGTCTATTATCTATATCACTAATCTTTCCTCTCAAGGGCTCCGCTGGGGTTTCCAAGTAGAGGCAAAATTTCCTGTTGATGTACATGTTTGTTCTACCAGTTCAGTGATGGCAGAGGATCTGGAAAATCTCTATCAACGATTAACGTTGACGGAAGGAGAAGATACAGAGGTTTTCGTGGAAAGAGATACGTTGGAAGAAGCTTCGTTGAGGAGGGAGCGCTGCTTGTGTTCGCAACTTCTGACCTCAAGACACTACAACAAAGAAGCTTTATTCAGTACTATGAGGAAGATATGGCGGTTGGGTTAGCGAGTCTGGTTTCGGGAGTTAAATTCGACTATCTTATTGATCGAATTCGAAGATGCTAACGGTAAGCGGAAAGTCCTGTGTGAGGGTTCTTGGGCTTTTGATAAATCTCTCTTACTGATGGGTGAAATTGATGGAAAGCAGCCAACTAATCAGATTCAACTCAAGCACGGCTCTTTCTGGGTGAGAGCACATAATCTGCCTTTCTCTGCTCGGGCGAAAAACTTGGGGTCCAGATTGGCAGTTCTTTTGTTTGTGTTGAAGAGGTGGATGTGGATGAAGGCGGCTTCACGTGGGGGGGAGTATATGCGGCTTAGAGTAATAGTAGATGTTACAAAGCCACTGCTCAGAGGAAAGAAAATATGTATAGAGGGTGAAGGCTCTATTTGGATACGTTTCTCCTATGAGAGATTGCTCGATTATTGCTATCACTGTGGCAAGATCGGACACTCTTTCAAGGATTGCATCCCTAAGGTTTCAAATTTGGTATAAGAAGATATATCAAAATTTCCCTATGGTCCTTGGCTGTAAGCGAATAGTTTGGGAGGAAGGAGTCGAACAGGAATAAATTTGGGCAACCGAAGTACAGCTGGCTCATTTCCGATGCTGGCATCAGCTTGACCAGTGGGTGATACGACATAGTACACAGTCAGGAACATCCGTAGCGAGAATCACGGAATTAAGCCATTGAAACAGGCGGAGGTTACGGAAGTGCAAAGCGAAAATCATGGAATGATTACAGAACTGAATTATGGGAAGCAGATATTTGAGAAAATGATTGAGGAAAATTCTATAACGTCGCATAAAAAGGGGAAAGCTGTTACAGGGGATTCTCTAGATCCAGGGATGATGCATCATGTGGAGATCCAAGGTGAGAAGGAGGCCCAAGTTGTTTTGGGCCATTTTGATAGAAATAGGCTGGGTCTGGGTAAGATTGCCAGGTTACCTTAGAGTGAAATGGAGGCCCAAGGTGTTATGGGTTCAAATGATATGCAAGGGCTAGGTTTTATCCAAAAGACCAGTTCAACCCAAGCCATTAAGAAACCAGATGGGGAGGTGGCCTAGAAATGGATACGTATTCGAGTTGTGGGAGCCCAGTCCACGAAAGAGGCTTCATTAGAGGGCTCTTGGGAAACACCTATGGCTCGTAAACGCAAAGCATCCCTAGAATCTAGTGCAAAATAAAGAATTGGGGAGGATGATGATGTTATTCAGCATGGCGGATCTACAAGGAAAATTCAAAGGAGAACAGCAGAGGCTGGAGGCCAGCCCTGCCGAAGTCAATGACACTGCTTTCCTGGATTGCCCGTGGGCTTGGGAACCCACGTGGCATTCGTGCTCTTCGCAACTTGGTGGCAGTAAGGTCTCGAAGTCATTTTCCTTCAAGAAACGAGGTTAACCGCGAAGGAAATGGAAAGGTGTAGGTATTCTCTTGGATTTTCGAATTGTTTTATAGTAAATTGTGTGGGTAGAGGTGGGGACTTGGCTCTGTTATGGTTAACTTCTGTCGATCTAACCATTCAGAGCTATTCGTCTAACCATATAGATGTTGTGTTGGAGGATGTTGGTAGGAATAAAGTTTGTTTCTTTATGATGGGTGTTTATGGTTCTCCAGATGCCACTCAAAGGTATTGTTGCTGGAATCTGATTCGTGGTCTACACCACTCTCGTTCAGGTCCTTGGATTCTATTAGGGGATTTTAATGAAATTTTGTGTAACGATGAGAAAAAAGGGGATCGACCTAGACATGAAAGGCAGATGGATGATTTTAGGAGAATGTGGATGATTGCTTGCTAAGGGACTTAGGCTATAATGAGGAGAAATTTACTTGGTATAACTGGAGGGATGGGACTGGTCGTGTACTGGAAAGGTTGGATAGAGCTGTTGCTAACCCTTAGTGGTGTGCCTCTTTCCCACAAGCTGTTGTTATACATGGGTGTTCCCCGTACGCTAATCATATCCCATTGTGGTTAGAGGTAGAAGGTATAGACGAGAAAAGGAAACGGGGCAAAAAAAAATGTACAGATTTGAGGCTACGTAGGTGGGAGAGGAAGAATGTAAAAATATTGTTGATCGAGTGTGGAACATGGGGGATACAGGACCTGCCGTCGAAGTACTGAGGAAACTGATTTCTAATTGTGGAGCAAAGTTGCAATGCTGGAATGAAACAAGCTTTGGAGATGTTCAATCTAAGCTTAATAAAGCACAACAGAACCTTAAGTATATGCAGGATACGTACCGTATAGGTACAAATCAGATGCAGGAGGTGAAGAAACAGGTTCAAACTTGGCTGGAACGTGATGAACTCATGTGGAGACAAAGGTCTAAGGCCCTTTGGTTGAAGGAGGATAACAGAAATACTCATTTTTTTTCAGTCAAAGGCTTCATAGAGATGAACAAGAAACTGTATTTCAAGACTGCAAGAATGAATGGAAATTGGCTGGTATAGAAGGAAAGAGATAACCTGATCAAGTAGTAATTCACAGCTTTGTTCTCAGCAAATACACAGAGGGATTCTATGTCATTTTTGGAACCTTTAAAGGGCAGGGGGACCCTCTTTCCCCTCCCTCTTCCTTCTTTGTACAGAGGGTTTAATAGCTCTACTACATAAGGCCAAAGATGAGGGTAAAATAAATGGCATCAGGTTGTGTAGAGGAGCTCCTATGATAAATAACCTCCTCTCTGTAGATGATAGTGTGATTTCCTGCCAGGCTAATGTACAGGAAGACCAGAATCTGCAATTACTGTTGAAGATCTATGAGTTGGCCTCGGGAAAGAAGATCACTATGGAGAAGACTTCGATGGTGTTTAGCAAAATGTAACTGCACAACAAAGAAGGCAAATTCTGGAAATGTGGCATTTCCAACACGAGACTAATTATGGAAAATATTTAGGTTTGCCACCGATGGTTGGGAGGGCGAAGGCGAGAGCTTTTTCAGATATCAAAAATCGTGTCTGGAAGAAATTACAAAGCTGGAAGGAAAAACTTTTATCTCAAGGTGGCAAGGAGATCTTAATTAAGGCTGCCGTGACAGCAATCCCTACTTAGTCCATGTCATATTTTCTTCTGCCTAACAGCTTGTGCACTGAGCTTGAGTCAATGATGGCTAGATTTTGGTGGGGCCAAAGAAGAGATGAAAAGAAAATTCATTGGGTTAGTTGGGAGAAAATGTGTAGTTCGAAAGTTAGTGGAGGTTTGGGCTTTAAAAGGTTAAGGGACTTTAACTTAGCAATGTTAGCTAAGCAACGATTGCGGTTATTAAATGGGGAGGGTACTTTACTGCATAAACTATTTAAGGCAAAGTATTTTGCAAACTCTGATTTTTTGAGCTCAAAACTCGAAAGCAACCCCTCCTATACATGGCGTGGGATATTGGAAGCTAGATCCATTCTTCTGAAGGGCTGCAGATGGAGATTAGGAGATGGAAAAAGTGTGAGAATACGGTTTGGTTACTGGATTCCTCGGGTGGAGCCAAAAAACATGCTAAAACACAACGAATATAGCTATTTCAGAAATGAACCATATGAGAGTTGATTAGTTAATTGACAGGCACACGAGTAGGATTTGGAAAAGGTTAGAACTCTCTTCAATCCAAATGTGGCTGATAAAATCCTATAGATCCTCCTTAGTCCAGACTTGCAACCGACAGACTGATTTGGGGAGAAGAAAAGAATGACAAGTTCTCTGTAAAGTCTGCATATAGATGGCTGCAGATTAATAAGTCTACTAGTATAGGTGAGCTATCTCATTCTCAAGCACAAAAGGATTTATGGAAGACTATATGGGGATTACACATTCCTCATAAGGTTCGAATTTTTGGCTGGAGAGTGTGCTTGAACATCTTACTGACCACCACTAATCTTATCAGAAAGCATATATAGGTTACACTTGAATGTGGATTCTGTGATGCGGGGGTAGAGGATTTGAATCATATTTTCTTGAGTTGTCCCTCTTTGGTTGATTATTGGATAATGTTTCTCCCTCTTATGTCCCAGGTTGACCGAAGCCAAGATTTATTTGATGTGGTTATGCAGATTAAAAGGGTAGGCGGCAAAGAGGCCCTGGGCTTGTTTTTTACTGTTGTTTCCAATATATGGCTGAGCAGAAATAAAAAACTTTATGAAGGAGAGAGTTTAAACATGAGCTCTACCATAGAACGTGCTATTTCGATGCTACATTTGTTTAAAGGGGTCAAAACTTAATTGGGCTCTGCTTTGAATAGCTTTTGTGCTTGGAAAGCTCCTCCGGCAAATTTTTTGAAACTGAATGTAGATGGTGCGACTTTTCGTCACCTTCACAAAGCGGGGATTGGTGTTGTTCTAAGGGACCAAGCAGGAAAGGTGTTAATGGCTGCCTCAAAAGGAGGATGAGAAGTGGTTGATCCAGAATTGATAGAGTTTCTTGCAATACTTTGAGGGCTTTAGCTTGTTATGCTGATGAGAATCTCTCATTTAGTCATTGAATCAGATTGCCTCTTAGTTGTTTCACAGCTCAATGACGCCGAATCTATTACCCTGTCTCCTTAGGGCTCAATCATTACTGATATTAGACGCCTTTTGTTTACCTTTATGGATGTAACAATTTGTCATGTAAGTAGACTAGGGAATGGGGTAGCTCATGAACTAGCTAGACATGCATGGGAAGTGGAGTCCATTCAGATGTGGTGGGAGGGATTTCCAGACGTTATCTCTCAAGCGATTTGGCTTGACAGTCGTCTGTAATCGTTGATTCTCTCATGAATGCAATTCTTGATTATAAAAAAAAAATCTATTATCTATAATATATTAAATATCAGAATTGTTTGTTGGATGATTCTATTTTTATTATGATTCAATTATTCCAATAATATATTGCTTTTTATTTTTCAATATGTATTAATTTTCCAATTAAAAATCCTCTCACATTCCCTAAATCATTTGTATACCCAATATTTAACAATTAATTTATTTAAAACCCTTCACCCGTCTTCATAGTCTTTGCCTTGCACTAGCAAATATGTACATGTATCCTAAGTTCATGTACACTATGAGCTTGTTTGGGAGAGATTNAAATAAATGGTAGGTTATTGAAATCAATATTTGGATAAAACCCTGTTTGACTGTATTATTTGGTATTATAATTTTTGGAATAGTAATTTTTTTGGAAAATTGATGGTTGAAAAGAAAGAAAATTTTTCGATTTACGTGTAATATTATTTTATTGGAAAATGTGTGATTGAAAATGAGAATTGATTTACTGTAGAAAAATTTAATCCCTCCCAAACAGGGCCTATATATTTTCGGGACTATTCAATTAATTTAGGTTAAAGTTCATGTACACTTATTTATTTTCAAAATCATTCGTTTAATTTATGATACAAATTATTCTCAAAGTTGGCATACGCACCTTTTTGTCTAAATCAATTTCAAGATCATGAGTATATAAATTAATATTTTTTCTATGAATAATTCAAATCAATTAAATTCTATATTCATGAATGTATTTGATTGTTCTCGTGAGTCTTCAACATAAATGAATTAATCTCTCAAGTATTTAACTCATCACGAATAATTTAGACATTTTATTCATTAACTTTTTTGGAATTTATTTGACGGGCTTTTCCGTTTGAATTTTTTTTTGTGAATAGTTATAAATTCTCTTTTTTTTAGGTGGGCAATAATTTGGTTGTATGAATTATAGATATAGCAGATTTTGAAGGAACTCAAAAAGACTTCAGAAGATTCCTCCTACACACGGAATACCGAACAAGAAGCAAAAAAAGATTATTGCGTGATGTTCTGCTTGATATTATAGACTTGTACGTTGAAAATTTGATAGAGATATTAAACAACTATCACTGTCATTCGTCTGAAGCTTTTATTTATTTTTTATATTGTAAAACTAGGTGCAATCTATGAGATTCAAAATTCCATAATAATCGCATGATATGCCCAAGTTTTTTCACATTGTGATATTACTTGATGTACTTTAAATATTCACATATTTTAAATATTACTTTTATAACACTGTATTTCATAATAGTGTGCAATGCACGTTCAATTATAACTAGTTGTAGTAAAATAGAATAAGAAAGACGTGTAAATGATTTGACATTTAGATTATATTTCCTCTATAATTTTAGACAAAATTGAATGTTATTGTAAATAAAATTTTAATATTTTTAATAATGACCATTATTTGCCATTTTAATTTTTGGAATAGTATTTTTTAAGAATGTGTAGTTAAAAAAGAAGAAAAAATTCTAAGTTTACATATAATATTATTTTATTGGAGAATGTGTGGTAGATAAGAAGAGAGAAAAAAATGAATTATAATGTTAATGGGGCAAACAGGGCTCAATATCAATGTTCGAAAAGGGCGCGACGTAGAAAACGCGTCCAATTGGGCAATGCGCATAAAAATGCAGTCAACAGTTTTTATTGACTGCCTAGGCGCGCATGCGTCTCAATGCGGAACAATGCGCATAGGCGCGCATCAGGAGAGCCTATGCGACTATGCGCGTTATTATATTAAAATAGTATTAAAAGTACGAAACACATTATGACACATATTCTCCGCATTGACACGCTTAAACTTGTGATTCTTAATTCTCGATTTCGACGTATCGCAACGCATTACGCATTTTAGAACACTACTCTATATTATGTTCTGTTGATTAAGCATAAATATGTTAGTTTATTCCAAATATTGTTCTCCTATAATTTCGAAACTGAGTAAATATATTCCTCGTCGTACTTGTTTTCTTCTTGCTTCATTTTTAAGGTTAAGTGGATATTGAAATTGTCGCAAATCAACTACAAGAATTTTGCGTATCACCGGTTAGGACATTTAAAAGCAAAGCAACTATCGAATGGGTCCTTAGTAGCTAATACATATGGCTGAGCCAAAAAAAAAAGAAGTACTAAAGTGATGTAGGTAAAGGAAAAGGAAACCATGGGCTGAAATGAAAAGAATATTTAAGAATTTGACCAATGAGCTCAAAAACTTTAATCATTATTTCTTAGTAAATACACTAAAGAGCATTAGTGTAATTTGTTAAAAAGGGGTTATGTGAACAGCACATTCCACCACATTTTTCTATAAACACACTTCATCTTAATTGCAAGACTGATTTATAACCTTTGATTATTATTATACTTATGTCCCTAAAATTTTTTTATTGTATTCTTATCTTCACAATTTCATTAATTAGCACATATTGTCCCAAATGACGATTGTCGTTTGAAAATTCTACTAATAGGGAGTAAAAAAGCCTTATTTGCCTATCATACTTTTAAATGAGCGACTAAAAAGAAATACATACAAAGTTACAACTAAGATTTTCTCTCTCATTTTAAAGTACGCTAACAAAATTTTTGTGCGAACATTGTCATTAGGGAGTAGTGCCAATAATGAAATGTTAAGAATAAAAATGTGATTAAAAAAAAAACTTTGTGTACATAAGGTGTCAATGAATAAGGGTAAGGGACGTTTAATACGATTAAAGTGTGGTGCATTTATTAAAAAAAAAAAAAATAGTATGTCAATATAATCACTCTTGTTTATTGCATCATATTCTAATTGTATCGAAGGTTCTCGACATTTGTTCATTGTTGCACTTATGTCCTTCACTTTTTTCGTTCCGATGTTATCTCCAACCTTATATTAATTAGTACATCTTATTTTTGAAAAGACAATTTCGTCCAAAAATTTGTTATGTGGGCTTTGAAAAACTTAAGAGGCGTTTGATTTACCCTTTTCAATTTTACAAAACACTCAAAACTTGTTTAGTTTGATTTTTATTTTTATTTTTCAAAACTAGATTAAACTTATAATATAAAACTTAAAAACATTTTTTACGTTTTAAGTGTTTTCAGTGAAAATGTTGAAAACACTCAAAATATTATTCCAAAAATGTGTTTTTATATTAAAAATTCTAAAAGAATTCTAAAAAAATGAAAAACTTTGAAAAATAAATTTATTAAAATTCTCATAAAGTCAAAATTCTATATAAAAAAATTTAAAAAATAGTTCAAGCTCTTATTGACTATTTAAATAAAATTCGAAAAAATATATTAAAATAAACACATAAAAATTCATAGTCCACGTTAATAATTTTTATTTTTTTGCCAATTTAGCCCTTGTTTGGTACAAATTATTTTCAAAATAAATTTTTCTCTCTCTTATTTTCAATCATATATTTTTTAATAAAATAATATTACACGTAAATTCAAAAAATTTCTTTATTTTTTTAAACATACATTTTTCATCAAAATATTATTCCAAAAATGCATTTTCATCTAAAAAAATGGGACTCAAACAAGTTCTTAATTTATTATTTATTTTTATAACAAAAAAAATAATGTAAGATTCATCAACTTATATATATATATATATATATATGATCTAATGAGCACCGGTGCTCATCTTATTCTAAGCACCGATGAGTTGGCACATTAATTCATTGGTGGATTGGAACTCACAAAATCTTTATCTACCAATGAATTAATGTGCCAACTCATTGGTGCTTAGGATAAGATGGGCACCAGTACTCATTAGATCATTTCTGATATATATATATATATTACTTTATAATATATTAAAGTAATTTTTTTCCATTTTATTAAATAATCAAATTTAACGAAATAAAATGTCAAATAATAATTTCTCAAAAAATTTCTAATTAAACGTGATTTTTATTTTTTTTATTATAATAATATGTTTTTCGCACATATTTTTCAATAAATAAGAAAACAACAAATACACAACTTTGACAAAATATTTGCCATCTCAAATTATGCTAATAGAATATTTAAAATAATATGTCATAAAGTAGAATGAGAGTTCATTAAAAAAAGTTGACAACGAAAATAGGAAAAAGTTGAAATTAAAACTATAATAATAAACAAAAATTAATTTTGACCTTTTCAGGCTCCTCACACAGAAATCAGCTAGCGCTAAGCTTCAAAAAGGTGGTGGAAAACCGTGTGAAATAACAGTGGCAATTGTGTATTTAGATGCAACTATAAGCCGTATTTCATAAATATTCATCCAGTTAATACAAATAATACGAGCCATATACTTGTGAGTGCTTCTTCTATATCTGATTCTCTGTGACGCGTGTAACGTACCCACGGCACGGCACAGCACAGCACGGCACGGCACAGCACAACAGCTATCATTACCTCCTTCAAATTTTCTACTTTACTCACCCAAATTTGCATTTCAAGAAACACCATATATTACAAAACAGTCTTATTTTCAAGAAAGTTGAGGATTTTGTGTATCAAATGGAAGATCGCAAGGAGGTAATCACCTCTATCTCTCTCATTCAGAATTCCCTCTTCTGGGCACATTTTCTACTTTGTTTATAAGTTTCCAAGAAATCGAATGGTTTATGAGTATAATTTTCTTGAGTTCTAGTTTGATTTACAATTGCATATTTGTTGCTAATTCTTGGGCTATAGATTTCATATGTGCAATCTAAATTTTCTTGAAGAAATCCGGAAACCGAAAAGTTTATTTGAATCAGTCAAAAATTCTATACTTTTGACTCGATTATCTGAATAAGGGAGCGAAGGTTTGAAGAAGTTATTATCATTTTTTATTTCTCTATGTTGAAAATGCGTAAAAGAGAGAGATTTTTCAACATTCTTTCTTTTTGAAGAGGATTGGGTTGGTTTGAAAAATTAAGAAATATAAGCTTTTATTACTTTGCAATTAGAGAAGTCAATCAACGATAATCACTTTAGATTAATATGAGGATTGAATATTCAACACGACATTGTTTGCTCTATATGTAATAACTAGTTCAAAGATTGAAGCAAATGGCTAATTCTTTCTACCTTTTTCCTTGTCATTTAGAAGACTGCACCATGGCTATCTGTGCCACAATTTGGGGACTGGGACCAGAAGGGAGCAGTGCCTGACTACTCCGTGGACTTCTCAAAAATCAGAGAAATGAGGAAGCAAAACAAGAGGGATCCATCAAGAGCCAGTCTTGGAAATGAAGAGGAGCTCATCTCATCGACTGCTAGAGTTTCAAACACAAACAATAACGGCCATCACCACGACTACCATCAAAATCACTCTCCAACTGTACGCTTGCTCGACCATCTTTAAAATAATTCCTTCTTATAATTCGTGTTAATGTTTATGTTAAGTTCAGATACTAGTAACTGTTAGGCATTAAGGATCTACTGCAGTATTGAAATACGTAACTTTTTGTGTGTAGTTGGTACTTCTTAATTGGTACACCAGTATCACTATCAGCTATATAGTGGGATACATGTGGTTAGGAGAACTAGATGGGGACAAAATTGGCAGCACATAGCAACTCTTAGCATTCAATGTACGATGTGTTCTAGTGGACACTGGTGTTGATGGATTTGGGTAGTGTTTGGACTCAGGGGCAGAGCCAGACTTTGAACGTGGGGGGGCCTAGAGGTAGACGTAGAGGTGAAGTGGTGGGGGCCCATGGGGGTTCGGGGCAGCGCCCCAGGAATTTTTTTTGGATACATTATTAACAAAAAAATCGAGAAACGTATAAAAGAAAGTACTAATCTTTAATTTAACAAAATCATACTTTGATAACGTTATATAACTACATTATAATCGGGCGAAAAGTTACTGCATTGGTCGCTCGAGCGAGTCTCTAGCGAAAGTCGAGCGAGGGTTGAGTAGTCGTCAATATTTTCATCATAACTTTCTCTACCAATATCCGATTTTGATGATTCAAATTCCGTTAGAAAGCTAACTCGAAGGGCTACAATTCTTCTAGAAGTAGCCATATCCAAATTCCAATGTTTTCGATGTGAAAAATGAGTTGAAAGTGGTAATTAAAAAAAAAAGTTTTAAAAATTAAAAAAAAAAAATTTTGGTCACAAATGGGAGGGGGGGCCAGGAACCCCCCAGGCCCCCCCTTGGCTCCGCCCCTGTTTGGACTGAGATAAGTCGGCAAACCAATACCACAATTTTCATGACGGGTTATCTTGTTTCTTATATAGACTGGAGATGATTTATTTCCTCATGCACAATCCGAACGATAAGTACTCAAGGCACCTTGGCTAAATTTACGATCTTGTGTTTCCTCACCTTGTCAATCCTATCATCTGTGTGAATAACGTACTCTTCAGGGAAAGACTATCGGAGAAGGAAACATGTCGTCTATTTTGGTTCATAAATTATTTAGTCAGATCTTAATAAGATGAGCTTGTGATGTTGAATGTGGTCCTCAGTAAATTACCATAGCACAAGATAAGGGAACAACAACTTGCTGAGATAATGAGAAAAGCTTTTAAGAGTCTCCAAATTCCTATTTCACCTGGACCACATTAAAGTAGATGAAAATTGCAACTTATGTTGGCTTTTCTGTTTACATCTATATTCAGCAGTCCCTTTAGTGGGGAACCCTGAATTTTCAAAAAAAGGACTTATTCGTACTTTTTTCCGACGAGATGCATCGTAAATTGTTAATTGGCGAAGCTCTGGTTCGCGAAGGCTCCGTGTATACTTGTTCTAATTATATTTTGTGTTAATTCTCTGACAGTCGAGAAGGAGCTTCTTCAGCTACTTCAACTGCTGCGTGAAGGCCTGACGTTTATGGAGCAATTTGGGGCATTTTATTTTGACTTCTATTTCAACAATGTAATTTGATGTTTGATTTTTCTATGTTTTGATCAAGTTTGTCCTGAAAATAGAAATTATTGATACGTTTGTTTATTTTATGTAGTTAATCCTTATACTTTGCTTGCCTTGCTAAATCCTGCTAGGAATTTCTTACCTTGTGCAGAGAGTTTAATGGTTCTACTCTCGTTTTTTGTGTTGAAAAAGATTGTTAACGAAGTAATAGAACCAACTAATGGAATTATGGTCCTATATATTTGGGAAATTTTATTTGAGGAACTGAACTTTTAGCAACATTTCAGTTGGGTCACTAAATTTTAATTTGTCTCAATTGGATCACTTACTTTGATCGAGTTTCAATTGGATCATTGAGCTTTAATTTTGTTTCAAATTTCACTACTATATCATGTGTCATCTTCCAAATCTAAAAGGCATCATAAGCTTCTTTAAGTGATGGCAATAGGCTCAAGCCATTCGCTGGCTTGTTAGGTGAGATCATGGGCTCTTGTAAGCAGGGGCAAAGCTAGCACCAGACGAGCCAAGGTGGTTCTTGTGCTAGCTCCATCGAAAAAAACAAAATGAGTTGTAAATTGGGTAGCAGCTCGACGGTGCATGCGCGCTCGCCTCGATCCACCCCTACTTGCAATTTCCTTAGTGGCTTGCCTATATGGCTACTTTTGCTGCTAATTTGATGGCAAGTGTAGAGGGCAAGTGCAACCAAATCAAGTTCAATCAAGTGCTTGAATGTGAAATTCAAAAAAAAATTTAAATGTAAAAAAAAAAAAAAAAA